ATTAGCATATCAGATTGTTCTCTGCGGGCCGGCTCACTCAATAGTAAAGGCAGTGCAAAATCTACTCTATTCTCCTTCGATTTTACGTCGTATATCGCGAGCAACATAGTTTAAGAACACGTAAATTCGAGACTAAATCATACTGCGATAGATACTTTTCCAATAAAAATAATTGGTTTTAATTTTTATTTTTGTATTAATTAAAAACAATATTACAAATTTTAATGTAATTTTAACAATAATCTTTTTAATGCCATCGGTATATATATATATAATATTATAGATGCAACGTATAAGATTATTTTAAAAGATACTTTTTAAGATTATTTTCCATTCACATAGATGCCTATTATAACTTAATACTTGATTTGTAATGAAAAATAATGTATTTCATTTTATTATCTTAGTATTTTAGTTTAGCAAACATATGCTTTAATGAAACGATTAAAACGCTATTAACGGAAAAACCTTTGAATTTAAAAATATAAGTAAATTTAATAAAATTAAAATAAATTTGGTATTCATGTTCTTAATAGTAATTCTTAATACTTATTAGTAATTCATGTTTTACTGTTGGTATACATTAAATACACAATAATACATTAAAACATAAGATTAAAAGTAAAGAGAAAAAATTTCATTTGATTCATTATTCTCTAAGCTGAGGTTACTAATTTCCCAAAATAATTGAAAATTATTATTACATTAAAACATAAGATTAAAAGTAAAGAGAACAAATTTCATTTGATTCATTATTCTCTAAGACGAGGTTACTAATTTCCCAAAATAATTGAAAATAACCATTTTCATCACTGTTTCCATATATTAGTGTCAGTCCTGATAACCTTCGCTAACATTATATCATTGGGTTACCTGAATTATTTTACTGTCCGTACTTCCATACTTTTGTAACCAGTATTCAATTAATACTCAATATTGAAAGAACGTTAATATTGAAATAAAAATGTCGCATATATAGTAATTCCAAGTTTTTTTAAGCGGAATTGCTAACTTCTTAAATTGATAAATATTAAGTATTTTCGACGCCTTAATCGAAATTTTTTTAATGTAATTTTTTAACTAAAGATGATTGCTCTTACAGTTTATTTTTTTAAGTAGTTTGTATTTTTTATAAAATTAACGTGTAAATTTAATACGCAAATTTAATATTGCATTCTATTAGATTTCTGAGAATAATTGATTAAACAATTGTCACATTATTTTTATGCAGTCAAGTATACGAGAATGTTTTTAATAATTTTTAAAATTTTTAATAATATTGATAATACGAATAGTATGTATTTGCTACCAATTGCTACAATATTCATTATATTGCGTTAGAGTAAACATTGTATTCGGACATTCAATTTTTGTTCTATATTTTTAATATTTATTTTACATTATTAAATATATTATTTGAATTTCTAAGATTTAATTCTATTTCTGTTACAATATTAATTAGAATTACAGTTTTAAAGTATCCATGTGGTGCATTGAAATTGATTATCCGTGTAAAGTTAGGGTTCATGCAAACAACCTTCCATTGATATAATAATACTGCTGGAAGGTATTCTATGTGTGCATTACTAAGTATCAAATAAAAGCAGACAAGAATAAAAATTTGTTGCAAAAATATACAATCAATTATATAATAATTATTATACAAGTGATTTAGCACTTATATTATCATATAAGCGATCAATTTTTGTGTAAAAAATATTTCTATTTTCTTTTTCATAATAAGTTATTAATTATTTGGTCAAAAATTTTAAAGAAGGAACCAAATATTTGCTTATTCTTATATCAACACACTGAATTTGTTTAAAGATTCTTTATTATTTCATTTTTTCTATCCAGCCAGATTTTTCTTAATATAAAATTATTATTTTTTATTTATAAAAATTGATATAATGTTATAAAAAATAACCTATTATACACAATAATTTGATTTAAAAATTCCGTAAAAATTTCGTTCATTAAATTAAAAAAAAATAGAATTAAAAAACATTATGTAAAGTAGTTTTTTTACAGATGCTACAAAAATTATACAAATTATAATGTCATTTATAAAATTTTATATAATTATTTTGAAATGTTACGGTGAAGTGGTAAAAACACTTGAATACGAATATTATGTATAATTTATTATACATATGAATTTAATATGTAGATTCTATATTATTTTTTATTGCATCAATTATCACTTAACACACATATTTAAAGCACATTCTATTTACATACCATATCACTTATCTTGGATAACTAATATATACTTTCAATAATTAATATATGAATTTTAAAATCAAAAGAAAAATGTTTACCAATTTTATTGGTTCTTTACATTCATAATACTTTCAAAATACACACAAATTAAAATTTTTTAAAACTTGATAAGATTATTTATATGTTTTATGAATTGATAACATTATTATGCTTAGTGTTTCCTCTATTTTTGTTTTAAAATCAGATTACATTTTGGCGATTCAATATATACTATCATAGAAAGGTGTTCTTTTATTATTAAAATGTTTGAAAATCAATGATAATCGTTTTCTATATTAACATTCATATTATTTATCATAAATAATTTAAAAATATCTTGGATTTAATAAACTGAACGTATTTTAGTAGATTATATATTTTTTCTAATGGATACTCGATATGTGTACCAACGTATTTATTATAATGTAAATATTTTTAAAAGTTTAAGATTAGTGTAGTTATTTTCTATGTAACAATATCGATATTTGCCTTCTAATCTTATTGGTTAATTTAATTTTAAATATACAAAAATATTATTGTATTTTTGGTACCTTCTTTATTTTAATATATAGTTTGTTCATTAATAAGATGATTACATGAATTTAAAAAATAAACTTTAATATAAAATAATCATAACAAAGATAAAACATTTAAGAATGAATATTAATCAATATAATAGCTATTGAACTTATTATTCTATATAGAATAGTATATTTTACATTATGTATATTGTTTGAGCTATTTATTTAAAATTATTTTCAAGAAATTTTAAAAAAATATTCAGTTTATGGCTACGTTTATGTAAGATAAATTCATTTTAATTGCTGTAATAACAATTATGCATTTGATTGGATAATATTAAGGATAATATATTAAAATAATTTTTAAATACATCTTTATCTGTATGTATATAAATTATTTAACAAAATAAAGTTCGGGTTTTATGGACTTTTATTATTAAGACAGGCTTTTATTTTTCACATAAAAACTATATTTATTTTTTGTTTAATATTTGTCAAAGTATGAAATAAAATATATTGTAGCATTAAAAATTTTATATATTTTTTAAATAATATTATTGTAATGCAACATAACGAAAGCATTTGACAAAATAAAATTATAATTTCATTTATATAAATATTAGAAGAGATTTATTACAGTCAATAAAATTTAAGTACATTGTAATTTAATTACATGTACATCATGATGCATTTAAACCTTTACATATGACATAAAAAAAAAAAATTATCGGTAATTTATAAACTTATATATAATTATTGTCACGTAATTTTGTTTATCCTAACATTAAAATGAGAAAGTAGCGTAAATTTTGTCTAATATAGCTATATTAAAAAATTATGCACTACTAGTGTGTTTGAAAAAACAAATCGAACTAAAATTCGTAATTGTTTAAGATACATAAACATGAGTCATTATTTTTCAACTGAATGTGTAATTTCCCCTTCTAATACTTGATCGACACTCAATACTATATTAAATTATCCGATTAGTTTCGAAATGATTTGTGGGTGTATACTTACATAGATATTCGTTCCATTCCTCTGTATCGATTGTCATTTCTTGTGTAAAGCATATATGCACGTTAATAAGAGACTATAATGATTCGGCATTTTTTGTTTGTATTATTCCACATTAAACTACAGCTATTCACCTTCTTGATTTAAAAATATTTCTTGTTTTCAGTTTTAAAAGGAGCTTTAAATAGAGTTTACAATTCAACGTGAATACTCAAATTTCAACAATGATTATTACAAGCCATGTTATAAAAAAGTTGATTCTTAAATGAATAATTATTTAATATATACGTACATCAACGATTTTAAAATACTTTGAAATTTTTACAGATTTTGAATTAATTATTTAAACAGTAACTTGTATAAAAGTTATACTTGTATTTAATATTATTAAGAACATAATTTTATTACTCAAAATATGTATAAATTATATTCTTATACAAATTTTTTAGCTAGACTTCTTTTCAATATCTTAATACAGAAGGAAATTAAAACATAATTATATTATAAACTACAGTTTATTTATAAAATATAATATATAAATACATGCATTTCAAATTGGGTATTTTCTTAAAATTGAATAATTTAATAGTAAAAATACTTCTATTATTACATTTACATTATCAATCTTAAACCAAATAAAAAATATTGTTAAGGATTAAAATACAATTATCAAAACAGCCAGCTACGTTTATTATTAATACATGAAAATTAAAAATATTAAATTTCATAGTACTTCATATGTTCATTAATACATTTATGTACAAAGAGCAGTTCCATTGAAATTTTTTACAGTATCTAAATGAAAAATTTAATTAAAGTAATATTTTGAAATTTCATAAAGGGCATTGGATTAAACATTTGTAAAACAATGTGGATAGAAAAAATCATACAATAATCCATACATGTATAAGAAAACAAAACTTGATCTTAATTATTCTTTACTTATATGATGTAATACCACGATAATTTACTTGTGAACAAATTAAAAAACCTAATATAAATATAAATCAAATTTAATTATGAAAGATATTTAAAAGAATTGAATAATGTGATATTATTCTGTAATTTAAAAAAAATTATATCTCTAAACTATAAGAAATTGTGTATATAATTTGTTCATATATTTAATCCATTTAAATAAATTTTTACTCTAGAGTTAAAATTACTGTAATAATAGATAATTTTTATGTATTAAATTTTATAAAATTATAAATTATTTTTATATTTTTTTAAAAATATTTTTCAAGGTTTTGACTAATTTTGTTTGGATTAACATCAGGTCCATGTCGCTCAACAACTTGTCCTTCTTTATCGACAATAAATTTTGTGAAGTTCCATTTGATAAAACTGACCAGAGTACCACTTTGTTTCATTTTCAAATACTTCCAAAGAGGATGCGCATCATTGCCATTAACATTAATTTTATTGAAAAGATCGAATTTTATCTAGAATTCAAATAATTAATTAGTTAATTAAAAATTAATTGTTCGTTTGCAACACTTTTAAAAAAATAAATATACAAAAATTGAAAAAAAAAATTGTTTTTCTATTGTTTAGTTTATTTACGTTGTATAAAACATTATAAATGATGTAAGTCTTGATGAACAAATGATAAAAAAAATTAATTATAGACGATTTTCATTTGCACAGTATTTTAAGAATGCAAATTATTATTAAAACATGAGATATTTGGATGTAGAATTTTCATTACAAAATGTAATGTAAATAAAGGTAGTTTACTATGACATAAATTCCTTGATTAAAAGAAAAGATTCACAATTAATCTATTTCCAACAATTGTATTTAAATTTTTTTTTTAAATAATAAATTTTCAAAAGATTATACTGTTAATAAAGTAATTAGTTCCCAACTTACTTTTTGGCGATTAGCAAAACTACAGATTTCTTCAGCATCACCGGGTTCTTGTCCATTAAATTGATTGCAAGGAAATGCCAAGATTCTTAAACCTAAACATATTCCAATAACAGTTCCAATTTTTAAGTCTATTCATAACATTTATCGAGGTGAACAATTTTCAGAGGACTAATTTAAAATTATGGACAAACCATGAGATTCTGCATAACGATCATAGAGTTCATTTAATTCCTTATAATTTGTTGCAGTAAGACCACATTGTGAAGCAACATTCACAATCAATAAAACATGTCCTTTGTATCTAAAAATATTTTAGAAAAAAGGAAATATTTATTTAGATAAAACAATCACATATTAATGATTATATGTTTAATAAATAATAGCTTATTTCATAAGTATCGATTGTTTTTTAAAGAAAAGGTAAAATGTACTGAAATTTAACTTTATAAAAACAATTATCACTGTGAAATATATAACAAATTTAAAATTTGGAGATTTAGAATAAACTATAAAATTCTAACTTTTCTAAAGGAACATCCTCTCCTTTGATATTTGTTGCTACAAAGTCATATACTGAACTTGCAGATTTGTAATCGTCATTCTTGTTCATTATAACTGAAAAAAAAGTATACAATGTATATGAATAAACAAATTCTAAATTACATATGATACAATTTTGTAGAGATTTTGAAATATTAACTAGAATCACTTGCAAAGTATTTAAATAGGGTAAAATTAAGATGGAAATTAGATTAATTACTGTAAAGTATCGTTTATAAGCAGAGAATAAATTTAGAAATAACCTCTAAATTTTGTAAGATAAAAATTAAGAAATTATAATAAATGTCAAAAATTTAATTGTACCGTCGATATGAAAACTTTTGTTATAATTTAACATCATTTCCTTCAAATAATTTAAATCTAAAATAAATTATAGTATACAAATGTTTTATTCATATATTTAGCACTAACTATATGTGAATATTAACTGTTAACGCTAGTGGGTTATAAGATTTATGCATACACTAATGTTTTAACATGTACGTGCCTGAAAAATTTCGTACTATATTCTGTGCTCCAAATGATCTTGCAGTGATTTTTAAAAAATTCATTTTCGTTATGTTTTTTTCATAAGTACAAGGTGACAATCCTGAAATAATTGGTCACTACTACTTTACCAAATCTCTTTTTGCTTATTATTAATTATATATAAGTAGTAATATATATCTATTTACTTATAATTAATAACCATGTAAATCTTTATACCGAATTTACGTATTTTTAAAAAGTAGAAAACTCTATTGTTTACTAAATATTATTGAATCCGTAGCAAGACAAATTGAAGAAAAGCAAATTTATAAAAATATCAAGTGCTATTTGTCAATTCATTAAAAATCCTAAACTAAAATCTCATCCGGCAGCGTCACCTAACGCAACTTTCCGAATCGAAAATTTTCTCTCCCCCATCCCCACCCGATCACGTCCGCCATTGTCGTTTCGCGGTTATAAACGTGCCTCTTGCGTCTATACGTTATGCCGGACAGCATATATAGTCCTTCATACTTAATGCTTATTTAACAAACAGGGCACAACGATTTGAGTATATAAGCAATCACTGTCTCACCTGTAGATGCACGCAATTTTTCGTTTTATTGAAACTTTAGTTGGTCGGGGAAAAGGAACGAGTGCAATAGTAAAAGACTCGAATTTACGATCTTCCTCTCGCAACGTCCACTTGTAAACTGACAGTCAAAGCGCCTTACGTCCAGTCAACTTGGCGTATTCGGTTGATGGCTATGGAAAATAAAACACCGCGTAATAGCCTGACTCGACAGAGGCACTAGGACAACTGGAGTCTTATCGAATCAATATCACATGTATCTGTTGTCGCACGGAGCAAAAAATTATTTACTATTATTTAATATTATGAAGTCAAGGCCTTGGTGTCCCCAAACCTATGTCCGGGTAGATGTGTTCTTTCTTATATACCATGGTTTTAGGAAATTTACGTTTTTCTATTACTATTCTCCATGGCGGTGATCACTTGTTATGTATTATAGTCATTATGTATATAGTGATTTAACAATCGGACAACTTCTATTTGTCGGTGAAACGTAAATTTTGAGTATAGTACAGACAGGCAGGTATTACGTTCTTTGAAACATTTAACTGGATTGACAATGTAAACAAATCAACTTTTTTCTTCTTATAGATGGTTTATAAAGTCTAGATAATATATATTGATTGTCACTTGTAATGTGTCATATTACAATAAATTTTCAGATAATGACGATTAAATTATTTTTTTAAAACATGATTGATTTGCATATGTATAATTGTGATTGTAATATTATGTCGAATACAGCTAATCGAATATAAATTAAAATTTTTTAAATTTTATATTATTTGTTAATTTTATTTATTTGATAAATGGCAAGATTATCGTGTTACTAAATGTTTTATTTTTAATTACGAGATTGTAAGAGTTAATAAAATTATAATTCATTGAAATATTAAAATATTCATTATTGAAAGGTATTTGGTATTGTAAATTTGTATACCAAATGCATCGATAGACGTATTATAAAAATTCTTATATTCTACATAACGCAGATAAAATAAGTTACATAATGTAAAGTCTTTCGTTTGAGGAAAAACTTGTATCTAAAAATTACGAAGTAAGATAATGTATTATAAACCATTAATTTGGTGTTTAACTAATATAAACTTCATTTTCAGGCTAGAAAATCTATTAAAAACTTAATCCAAGAACTGTTAATATTGTTAGATTAATTATTCAACTGAAATATATAGCTAGTGGTTACACGGCATATAATAATGCTTTGATCGAATATTGATTTGCTAATATTTTATTACAAAAACAATAAGAAATTGATGTAATGTTAATAGGCTTATATAGATTTTAGTCCATTATAATTAATTTAATAAATTGTTTCATTTTCTGTTTCAGCACATTGGTACCTTGGAAAGTATTTAGGCATGAGCTGAATCAAGTTCATCCAATCAGTTCGGGATTACAGGCAATGGCCTTAAAATCAACCATAGATCTAACGTGTAATGGTTATATATCGAATTTTGAATTCGATGTTTTTACAAGGTATATAAAAAATTAATCATTCTATGATATTATTTATTTCAATTAAGTAATTCAATCTTTTGAATGCATTATTTTAAATGTCATTCAAATTATAAACTATCCATATGTTTTGTATAGTAAGTCAATTATTTTTCTGTTAGATTTTAAATAATTAACGAAAATGTAAAGCAATGATATCTCTCCTAATCTAATATAATAGATTACCTGTACAGCCTTGAAAACTCAAATTAATCGATACATTCTTATCTATTTTTAGCTTTTAATTAAGCTATTATACTGCGACTAATTTATTGTATATCATTATTCTTTGTAAAATATAGATTAGAAAAAAGTCACTTGCGTGGATCAATTTTCTAAAATAGTAAATGAAAATTTTTAATTATAAATTTAATTCTAAATATTAGAAGTTAAAATTAAAATATTAATACGCACTAAATATATTTTATGATTTCGCTATGCAAAATAAATTTTTTGATAATTTATATTTACAAATGACTAATATTCAAAAACTTACTTAATACAGATTAATTAACATTTATTATAAATTACTCAGATAAAAACTAAATAGTTATAAAAAATCAAAAATCAATAATACAAAAAAGTAGAAGATTAAAACAATGAATATTTATAGAAATAGTTTAAAATTATTAAAAAATAATTCTTATAAAAGGTTACCCGGTATTAGCACTATACACATACACTATACATATATATATATATATATATACACTATACAATATACATATGCATATACATATACACTATACACATACACTCCAATATTTACATGCCTTAAAAATATAAGAAAAACAGCATAGTACTATCCTTCGGTAATAACTAAAGACGATAAATACATTAACAAATATAACCACAAGAACTTTTATTTAATTAATACGTGCTAAATACGATATTAATAAAATAACATATTAAAAAAAAAAAAAACTTCTGATTTATTTAGTTTATTGAACTACGTGATATCTTAAAATTAAAAATTACACAATGCCACTGCTTCGTACATTTCAAGTTCCAAGTCAACTTAACAAAAACTTTTTCTATTATTAGAAGTATTAATGTTGTAGACTGCGTGACTTTACTATATTATTACTGAAATTTTCTATTTCTAAAGTTTTTACACAATTTAAAATGTGTGCACAATTAATGTAAAAGCTATTAATTTGCATTCATTACATGGGATACATCAAATTTCAATATGTTAATTAGCATCTAATAACGTCATAAGCGCAATAAGCTAATCGAAATTAATCTTCACGTGGCTCTATTTTATAACAGGTTGTTCCAGCCATGGTCAACTTTATTACGCAATTGGAAAATCCTAGCTGTTACGCATCCTGGTTACGTGGCTTTCCTAACTTACGACGAAGTTAAGGTTCGGCTGGAAAAGTACAGTGGGAAGAAGCCCGGGAGCTACGTATTCCGGTTGAGCTGCACTAGGCTCGGCCAGTGGGCCATCGGCTATGTCACCTCCGACGGGCAGATACTCCAGACCATACCTCACAACAAGAGTCTTTGCCAGGCACTGCTAGACGGATACCGGGAAGGATTGTAAGTCCATCAAATTTTACTCGTGCCTCGATAATTGTTGCCAATCTCAATGCAATTCTTATGCGAGATTCAGACTCCATTGTCTTATCGTTAGTTTTGTTCGAGAACATGATTAAGTTCTAAATGGACTCTAATACGAGTCTTGTATCATTTAAGCGTGATTACGGGGATGTTGTTATCGTTTGTCTTTTTCATACAAAAATATCTATTTTCGCTAATATTATCGGTACGGCTCTAACTATTGAATAATAAAAATATTGGCCTTAAATTACTTATGCGTGTGGAAAATATCTAGAATAATGTTAAGTTTTGTTCTTTGAACCTTTGATAAAACTAGATTATGTTATCCGAGCATGCCGTCAGTGACATCAAATTCAATCTTGTTCATTCGGTAGCTTTCATATTTTCTTTACCTACTTTTTATTTCAAACGACAACAAGAACGAAATGGGATTAAACTCTGCACTTGGTTTCATCATTATTTCATTATTACCGATCAAAATAGTTATTAAAACTAAAATATTTAGTTAACAGTATCTACTGTATCTACTAGTCAATATGAATAAAATGCTTGCAAATCATATGACCACGCGTAAGCTTTGTCAACGACTGTTTCTATTCAATTTGAACACTTATTGTGAGAAAGCATAATATGCCCTACGGATAATCAATCGTTTTTGTTCTTAGCTATCTCTACCCGGATGGGCGGAATATAAATCCGGACCTGACGTGGGCTGTCCAGCCGACGCCGGAGGAGCACATAAAAGTTACCGCCGAACAATACGAGCTTTATTGCGAAATGGGTAGTACATTCCAGTTGTGCAAGATTTGTGCCGAGCATGACAAGGATGTGAGAATAGAGCCCTGTGGACACTTACTGTGTACGCCCTGTCTCACCGCCTGGCAGGTAGTGCTATATCTTTCATATTTTAACTACGTTGTCCGTTTAGTTTCGTAATGGAAAATTGGCGTCTAATTAAAGGAAAACCTTTCGCGTTTGCTAGTATTAATGTGAATTTTCACAGTGACAAGATACTTATGTGTAGGATTAAATTTTGCTTTTAAAGTAAAACGATCTTGGCTAACGTCTATTTTCAACACATTTTCAATACACACGAAAGTGAGTATTGTATTTGAAAAAAATTAGCTTTAATTATTTTTAATTTTCTAATGCCTTATTTGAATATTCTTATTACTAATTATGCAAACTTCAAATGAATTGAGAATTACGATAAGATTTATTTAATTTTTATACAAGCACTGCGTACATTGTGCTTTAACATGCATTAATAAATTAAAAATGAATAGATTAAAAACGATGTTGATATTGCTTATTTTGTGTAAATTAAAATATAATCCGAATAATAAATATGATTTCTTTTCCTACATTTTTAAAAAGGAGTTTTAATACAATAGAACATTTTTGGATAAATACTTTTTTCCGAAAATTTTAAATGACTACATTATTTGTTTGGTCAGTCTAAAGTAAATAACGAATAAGATGAATTATTCAATACATTTGTAATGTATATTGAGACAATTCCAGCCATATAAACGCAATATTTAACGTAATTCAAACTTTAAAATTCAAATGTTCAACTACTCATCGCCTACAGCCTAATAATGTTACATAACACATATAAAGAATTGTTGCTTTTTTTTATATGGTACGACAAAAAAATATGCACAATTTTATGACAGTATTTAATAAAAAAAATTGAGGCATATATTTCGAATGATCAATTAGAAAAACAGGGAAAATAATTAATGTATGAAAAACAAAAGTAAAACTATAAAATACACTATTATTTATTCAAACTAGATCTTACATTGGATAGATTAATATAAGTCAAGAATAATTTTCATCCGACCAATTATGTACTGCTTTCTAGGATTCTGAGGGCCAGGGCTGTCCCTTCTGTCGTGCGGAAATCAAGGGCACTGAGCAAATAGTTGTCGACCCGTTCGATCCTCGACGAACGCACCGACCGGGAGCCCAGTCTGCCTCCGCGAGCAACGCTTCAACGCCCACGAGGGATCTGGACCCCGACACCGAGGTATCCGACTAGGACACAAAAACCTGAACAAAAATGAACTGAATAATAAAAGGCCAAGCACGCTTACATGCGCGCGTATACATCTATACATGCGCGCGCGCCTTTTTCTAATTCGTGTTATATGCATGTGCATTCGTGAATATTTTTTAGCGTAAGTGCGAATGCGAGTGCGAGTGCGAGTGTTTGTATGTGTGTATGTATGTAAGTATACGCGCGCGCACTTAACCAAGACATTTTATTCACAGCTACCGCACCCTTGAAAGAAAAACAAATACCGTCTTTTTATGCGTTTTTCCTGATTTGCTATATCCTTTATGTTTGTTCTTGTTCTTTGTGTATCGCTTGTATTAATCCAAATATGTATGGGTACTTTCTGAAAATCAAATTTATAACTGCCACGCGCGCGCGCGCACACACGCACACATTGGAGAGAGAGAGAGAGAGAGAGAGAGAGACATATACACATAATTTTTCTGTAATTGCGTGATTATGTATATAATACTAATCATATAAGATCGATCTTAACTGTATTTTAAGCAATATTTTTTTGCAATTGTAAGCAATTGACTATTCTGAGAAAAATAGTCAACGATTAATTTTACTAATCAGAAATTTCTAAATATTTATATAAACATAATTGTTTATCTCATTGCAATTTTTATTGCAAAATCTCTATTAATAATCAGGTGATTACCGAGTATGAAAAATTCAACAAATATAAAAAATCTAATTTTTTTTTTTTATTTAGAATGATTAATTTTCATTTCAAAGCTAATATATGATATTATTTTTAAAAAATTATGTACAAAAAATAGTTTTATTTCTTGATTTTATATTTATATTTGAATAATTTGTTTATATAAATTAAATATTTGCATTTTGTTTATATATATATATATATATGGAAATGTACATCAACTTTATCAACTCAAACATATTCAGAAAGTACTCATTTTAGCATCGCAATTACAATTTTGTTTCGCGCATATTCGTAAATAAGTGATTACTCTGCAAAATATGAAAAAATTTGCTTTCACACCAAAAATAGAAAAACAAAAAATCATATTTGCTTCTCTGACTTTGTTACACTTATCAATGTGACGCATGAGTGACCAAAAATATCAATACTATTGCATTTGAACTCAGTTATTACAATCATTATTGTCTATTGTACTATAATTTATAGAAAAATTATGCTTACTTGTACACATCAAATTAATTAATTAAAAATATATTTACATATAGCGATGTAGTCATTTTAATATAAGAAAATAAAAAGTATTGTCAATTAATTCATCATTATATTAAAGTATTAAATTCTCTATGAAGTGCAAATTTCAGGTTTTCTTTCGTTCAAAGTAAAAGAAATGTATTTAAAATAAGGAAAAGTGCGTCTATTAAAACGATACTATTTATTTCTTATATAAAAAATAGGTAAAATGATTCAATATTATTATTGATTTATGTGATAATAGGTATTTCAATATCTTTGTAATATTGAACACATACCAAGGTAGGTTTCCTTAAAATCATTTGGTTAATTAACATATTTAATCGTCGCCAGCTTGTTATGTAAGCTGTTTTTTCTTTCTTCTTTTTCTTTTTCTTTAATTTGCTCGCAGCAAAACAGTCAATGCCACACATGAACATTTTATTTCTTTGCTTATGTCTTATTACATATTATGCATTTATTACAGTTATTTATTTTTACAAACAATTAAATATTTTTAAAACATGATCATTAAATGCTTGTTTCAACAATAATTTATTATGCATGTAAACTTTTTATACACCTATTTGTTAATAAAATATTTATTGGAATGTCTATAATTTTTTTTACGAAAAAGGTATTTTTGAAAACTTTATTACAAATCGTATATATTATTGTGTTGTAGATTTAATAATTTAACTACAAAATAATTACTTAAATTACGTCTCCCTAATACATTAAGTATTTTAGATTACTGCAGTCCCACTAATTACATATAATAAAGTTAAAAAGAAATTTTTTTCACATTTTTCCATAAGTTCTAGTTCCTAAATATTTCATTGTTTGTAAAAAAATTCTATTTTATAATAAAATTTAGTAAGGGAAAAAATAAAGTATCAGTGGCTTTTATCAGCATCGTCATTCATTTAAAATAAGAATATGCTCCAATAATAAATATAAAAGCGAAACGTAAATTAATCAATATAAAATATTAAAAGAACCATTAGCATTCGTATAATAAATAATATAATCTTGCCAGTTTACTACAATAGTACATGATCGAGGCTTATGTACAACCTGTATAAAAAATAAACAAATATTTGTAATTACATGGACTTCTTATATGAACATGGTAAATACAATAAATATTTATTGATAATTTATATTAATTATTACTGTGTGAAATTCATTAGCAATGCCAAAATTTCAATCGAATTTGAATAAAAGTTTTTGTAATTAAATTTTTAAGATATAAAATAAACGCCTCACAATATAATATTTTTATTAAAATAATGATTATATATATTTTTAATATTTATAATGATTTATAATTTATTGTTTACTTTGTAATAAATTTTCATACTCATATTTGATTATTGGATCTTTAAATTTTATTTGACAGATTATTTGTTTGATATTAGAATTTTATCAAAAATAGTATTACAAAATAATTTTTAAAAAGCGCTGCGAATAATCGAATAAAAATAAAAATTGTGTACACATTTATAAAATGTATTTCACTTTACTGATTATATATTATAGTTATTTTATTTATTTTCACTAAATATTGATATTCTAGTTTAATAATAATATATTTATAATTATTACAATAATATTCACATGAGATCATGCTATAGAAGCAAATTTTCTTTTAAATTAAATATTTAATAAAAATCAATTTTTATAACACAAAATTTGAAAATCATTCTTAATGTGTACAAAATTCATCGAAAAATTGTTCAGATATTTTAAGAAATTATCTTATTTATCTTATTTAAATGAAACATAAAATTGAATTATTGTTCGTAACATTAAGTTTTTTTAATGATATAAAAACTTAAAGATTACATCTGATATGATATTATGCGATCATGCAAAAGTTCTATAAAATTTACACAAATTACTAATTTATATTATTCATATAAACGTAATAAGTATTAATAATTTTATATATACAAGAGAGGGAAAAGTTTTTGTATCAAGGAGTATAACTCCTAGGAAACTATTTATAAATTGATTTGCGCCAGTAAAATCGTATAAAATGATTTTAAATTTTCTTTCTCTTCTTTTGCACAAATAACATGAAAAAGATACGTTTCGGTCATAAGCCGCGGAAAAAATTTGTAAATATGAATGGATATTATTATTTTATTAAATCAATTTTTTTTACGTGTCTTCTGTACTATATTTTTAATTAACTAGTACAAAAACATAACGTTTGTATTGATCGAAAAAGCGTGAGCATTTCATTGGCTGTCTTTAATTTTTTATCCGTTATAATTTCAATAGAGATTTAGGATTTAAAATGAATGTATAATAGAAAAAAATTTCATATACGGTATATATTTATAGGTATATAGAAAGAAATTAATATTTCTTTTAAAATTATATATAAGTATAATTATTTGTTATTTGTGCAATGAATAAAGTGTACGGTTCAACTTAGGTTATTCCTTGCCATGTAAACCGGAGAGAGCGCGTGAATTTAGGTAAATTTTAAAAAGCGGAACCGAATGACCAATTTTACTTATTGTAAAATATTAGGTACATGAAAATCACTTTTTTAAAATAAAACTTATGTTAACAGTGTGTTTGAGTTTTTTATGTTGTTCGTTTACCCATTTATTTATAGATATTTCCATAGATATTGTTGAATAAATTTAAAGTTTCTATAATATTAACCATATTTTACATGTTACAAGTGTGACGAGTAAGATATTCGTAATAATTATGTAAACTATTAGTTTTTATAAAAAAATAAATAAACATCTGTGTTAAAAGAGATGTTATTGAAATTATTTAAATTATAAATATGAGTCGCGCGGGATTAAAAGTCAATGTTCATTACAGGACAATATAGTATTATTATTTTTATAAATATTTTTAAGTCAATCTAAAAAGTTTTGTTACTGTCTGTAGTCCTGTGTGCATGATAATTTCATTTTTATTTCGTCCTATTGTCTAATTTGGAAAAATCAACATATAATTTGTTCAATTGCATGAATTAATTGAACAAAACTGTATGTAAATGGAAATCAACGATAAATTTATTTTCTCAATTAAAAGGTAAGTATAACACTGAATGAGCTGCATTTTTCTATTATGCTTTCGGCATTTTTTGACATTTTTGTTTATATAAGTTTTTATTTTTTCTCTATTATTATTATCCATCTATAAATAATGTATTATCTATGATGAGTCTATGCTTATTAAAAACATCGAGTAAGTAAAATTATTGGCTTTTAATGCAAATTGATAATATAATTGCTATTGCCACAGTATTTATTAGAAGAAATAATTTATAATTATATTCAAAGGCCGTTTTTTTTTTATAAAAACTTCAATAAAATACCGAATTCAAGGAATTTACTGATATTTAAAAAATTATTTTAATGTGAACATAATAAAAATTTTATAACTAGGCTAGGTTTATAAGATCCATTAATTTAAATTTATAAATTTGAATTTATTTTCTAAATAGATTAAGGATATTATGATAACGAGTATGATACGAGTAATAGTAAATTTATTTAAGGTATGTATTCGATACGTAATAAAAAAACTGACTATTACACTTAGGTTTTTCTATTGAAATGAAATACTTAGATTTATCTATGAAACAGAAAAATATATTTTGCATAATAATAATAACTTCATTTTTTAAATAATAATTATTTGGATAAAACAGTTTTTCAATTTTTTCGAATAAACATTTACATGGCTTCGTTTTCTATCTGAATGTATATGTAAAATATATATATGCGTGCGTGTGCGTGTGTGTTAATAATCACTTTGCATTTCGTTATGTTATTTTTCTTAATACACAAATCTAATATGTGCACCAAAAGGACTTTAAAACTCAAACATTCGAGCAGTGAAATTAACTAGTTCACCCATGGAAACAAGAATGCGTATAATAATGTTGGTATAATATGCAAAAGCCGAAAAGGGAGTCAGTCAATTGATCATTTACACGGTTCACAGGCGATAATGGAATTACTAAACGGCAACTGTGGATCTCTATTAAACGACTCGGATGAGGATGACTCGTCACCAACTGGTTCACCCCCTCTCACCCGACGTATCGTTCCGA